ATATATATTTTTTTTTTTTTTAAATATGCCCCCTTATCATTTAAAATTACTATTTAAGTTTTCATTTAAATATAGACATCTTTACGAATTATAGGCTAGGATAACATATGTGTTATTGTGTTTCTTGTAGAGTATCGTTAAAATATTTCAATTTATCTATTAAAAAAAAGACAATTAAGATCTAAAATAGCAAGTCTAAGTGCAACATAATAAAAATAATAAATAAATAAATAACTGAGGGACCTTATCCCAAGACAAGACTAATAGACCGACGTAGTGGTTTGAAAATTGAAGATTTGATATGCCACGACCAAAGGGCTTAATAGCTCCTATCCAGCAGACCACGATGTCATCATCATGATCTTTGTGCAGTATTCTTCCCAAAATATTAGTCAATCAAATCTTAGAGAAACCTTGTATGTTTGAGGAAGGAGACGTATGGCGATGGAGTCAAATGGAGAACAAGTTGGTTTCAATGTTGGTCAGCAGTGTGCCATGACGATGTTCGTCCTGAGGTTCGACGGTATGGTGGTAGTAGTGGTCACAATGATGGCGATGAAGCAAGTCAGGAGATAGTGACTTCAAAATTCGAAATATTGATGAGAGAAAGTAAGTTTAAATTATTGTAACTTTTTTTTGGAACGGTAAATAAATATTTTCTAAAAAGTTTATAAAACAGAAAAAAGTGTGGTATTTTTAGTAGGTGTGATTTAAATGTGGGGTAAAAATTTAAAAAGTTAAAAGAGGATATTTTTGAACTTTTAGTAAAAAAGTAGGTTATGGTGTGATTATTCCTTATTTCGAAATTATTGGGTCTCGTGTGGAAATAAATGGTTGGGTCGAATTGAGAATTATTTAGTGGAAATTACACAAAACTAGGAGTTTAAACATCACAATTCAAAAATCAAAGTTGAAGTTTCATTATGCAAAAATCAAGTATTAATTTAATAATTTATATATTAAATATTTCACCCAATTCTTAATTTCCAAACCCTAATTTTACCCATTCTCTCTATACTATCTGTTTTATCTCCCTACTATTCATTCTCTTTTCTTCTCCTTCTTCTTTTTCTTTCCTTTTTTTTTTAACTGTCGAATCACCGTCGGACTACGGAGACAACGCCTTGCGGGCAGTGACTACAACATGATACCACGGTGACACAAACCCAGCCCATTTGTTGTCGGTCCAACGGTGGTGCTGCAAATTCTGGCAGTAGCACCATCGCCGTCGCTGGATATGGCTACGCCATCCGTAGTTGTTGGGCATAGTTGCGCCATTTGCAGCGAGACACCATTGTGTGCAGTGAGGCGGCACAACCATGGCTTCGACGTTGCATTGCAAGTTTTCGACAACAGGAGAGGGAAAGGGCGAGATGAGGGAAAGGAGAATATAGACTGAGAAAAGTGGATCTAGCGGTGACTTTTGTTGATGATGTAGGTGGAGGTGGTGGCGATCAATGATGATAATGGTGGTGTAGTGTATCCAGGTAGGTTACAGGTGATGGTGGTGGGTTTAACAAGTTGGTGTGATCTGTTCATGGTGGTGCTACCTATGCAGCGTGTAGCTTCCTATAAAAGGTAGCAGGTTACTGTTGCCTAAATTTAGCCAACAACGTTTTCTTTCTTTTTTTTTTTAGCTGGCCCGCAAGCCACTAGGGCCCACGGGTGCCCTAGTCGAGAAAGTCAATTTGTCATCCCTATCTTTAAGTCTTGCTTTTAGTATTGTCCTCAAATCATAGCTATGTCGATTCACACATTTAATGGAATCAATTAGTTTAATTGTTCAAGCTCGATCTCTAGAGGTAACATCATTGACTATGGAAATGAGGAGTATGCAAGGAAATTGCAGGTAGTCCATAGAGCCATTTACCTGTTATAAACATTGTAAATTACGTGTGAATTAATTTACAACGATATTTTTTGTCTTTTAACTTTGAGAGAAAATCTTTTTTTCTTGTTTTCATCACTAGAAAATCAAATTTAGTGCATGTAAATGCATAGACTAATTTGTCAAATTTGGAAAATTAGAGTTTAATAAGTAATTATTATAAAATTATAGGTAACCCTTCATCTTATTTTGTTGACACTAAAAGTTAACTCTAGAAGATGAAACGACTTGGAGTATGGTAGGATGAATGGAATATTAGCAGAATTGGTCCTCAATCTATTGTATTTGTAACAAGTTGATCTTCAACTTTTTATGGATTTATTTTTGGGATCCACATAAGACACGTGGCGAATTCTTTCCTCATTACCGGATTACATTATCATCAACTGTCCACTCCAAACATCCTCAATTTTAACGAAATTCTCCCGCCGGACGGAGAGACATACTTGCTCAAAGAATGGCCATCACTTCGTCCTTATTATGTCCAATACAACTCTCACAAAACCCGACACTCCTTAACCGCCACCGCTTTAAAACTCCCGGAGTCGTCGCCGCCATTCCGCCACTCTCTACCGCTACAGACGTCTCCGTGGTGGGAAACCCTTTCGACAGCACCGCTCTAGCCGTCATCGGTGGTAGTTCAGTTGCAGCACTCGCCACCGTGCTTTCCCTCACCGACCCCGAGAGGCGGCGGCAAATGCAGGCGGAGGAGGTCGGTGGCGGGGACAAGGAAGTGGTTAAGGAGTACTTTAACAACGATGGGTTCCAACGGTGGCGCAGGATATATGGAGAGACGGATAATGTTAACAAAGTGCAGCTAGACATAAGAATTGGGCACTCCAAAACTGTGGAGAATGTGATGAAGATGCTGAGGGATGAGGGGTCGCTGAAGGGTGTAACTGTATGCGATGCAGGGTGTGGGACCGGGAGTTTGTCGATTCCATTGGCTAGGGAGGGCGCCCTGGTGTCGGCCAGTGATATCTCGGCTGCCATGGTTGCTGAAGCTGAGAAAAAGGTGGGCATTCGTTCTTCAACTTATTCGTCTAAAAGTTTTGATTTTGTTAAAAAGGCGATGAATTTGTTTATTTATTTCGTTAAAGGTCTTTCGCGTGTAGGATTTTTATGAATGATTGGGAGTGGACTAGAATTCATTATGTTATGTTGAAATTAACTCGTCTAAAAGCTACAAATTTATTTATCTAACAGTTTGTTCATCACGCATTAATTATTACTCTTGTTATTGATAATTGAATTTGTTCAAATTTGTACTGCTAGACATTAGTGCTGTGTAACCAGAATATTGAGTTGACAAAATTATCTTTAATGCTGATATCGGTTTGATTACTTTATTTATATGGCTTTGTAGGCACGAGAAGAGCTTTTAGAAGGCAAAGATGAGCTCTCCCAGGGATTTGTACTTCCGAAATTTGAAGTGAATGATTTAGAGAGCTTGAGTGGAAAGTACGACACGGTTGTCTGTTTAGATGTTTTAATACACTATCCACAAAGTAAGGCAGATGCAATGATTGCCCACCTTGCTTCGTTGGCTGAGAATCGATTGATTTTGAGCTTTGCCCCGAAGACATTCTACTATTCCCTGTTGAAGAGAATTGGAGAGTTGTTCCCGGGACCATCAAAGGCTACAAGGGCGTATTTGCATGCCGAGGCTGATGTAGAGAGAGCGCTGCAAAAAGTTGGGTGGAGAATAAGAGAGAGAGGCTTAATTACAACACAATTTTACTTTGCCAATCTTGTTGAGGCTGTTCGTGCTTAACACAGAAAAAGGTCAGATGTTTTCTTTTCTTTTCTTTTAAGTACATATTGACTTGTACCGTGTATATTAGTTTGAGAATTATGTTACTAAACCTTTATCTTCGTGGACAATTTTCAATTAATCTCGATTTTAAGTGTAAATGGTGTCAATCTATATTGCTGGAGTTCTGCACGGCTGCACCTTTGTATACTCATGTACTCATGTATTCTTATTTAGTTTTTAGCGAACGCTTGGTTTTTGCTGAATGATTTCTGTTCTGTTAATTATTTTATTGACTTAGTGAGATCAAGGTCAAGAAATGAACAACTCGTGTTGACTTTTATTTAGCTCTCCAGCCATTACGCTAGAGTTCCAATTTTTACTGAAATATGCCAACTTAAGATATTCATTTACAGTACATAATGGCCGATGATACGACAATTTGCCAAAGAATTAGTCAAATTATCGTACAAGCAGATTGGCTAAGATTGAAAATTCAGGAGAAGTCTTAGAAATTCACTGAAAACCCTACTTTTGTTCTCCTTACTCTAAAGTACTGAACAAGAACACTTCACGGATTATAGTGTCATGTTTGGTAAGATGGATAGGATAGCACTGGATCGCACATAACATACAATAGGTATTTATGGATGCTCGCAGTTACAACTTATCAGCAATTTTTGCTAGTGCATCAGTAATCTTGTTTAGAGCAATGACTAAACTGTTGTGCTGGTCATTTCGCTGCTCTCTGTCAACTTGACGGTTCATATTTTGAGCTTCAAGTTGCGCATTCAGAAGAATGGCGTTACTCTGGAGAACTCTGATTAAGCGATCCGTTGCGTCAATAATTTGACATCCATCTGATGAAAATCTTCTTCTCGTCACTCCCTCCTGAAACATGGTAGATCCTGTCTCGAAATTTGGTTGTGGCCGTTTCCCTCTTTCTGTACCTGATAAATTCAAATGCACATATCACTATCATTCATTATGAATTAGAGAAATATATCTATAGTATATCTTCATCACACTTCCTACGTGTAGGTTGGATTCAATTATTTGTCAAGAGCCTAACACACATAATTTTTTATAAACAGGTGGCTTTTGAGCCTTGAGCATGGAATCTTTGCCTACATTGATAACACATTGAACTACGACAGCTAATTATAGGTTCTGAGGGGAGGGGGGATATTTTCAATTTATGCTTTTATCCTTCAACACGATAAACAATGAAATCACAAGCAATAAATGTACGATTTGCAATCAATTATGTTAGGATCTCGTCGACTTAACTCTTATCAAAACACAAAACGTTTTTGCCTATTGCAATTTCAAGTCCAGATGACATTATGAGCATAATGGATTATCATAATACGGTTTTATGGAGTTTACCTCGATTTGAATATGCCTCATGATGTGGTTGATATTTTTTCTCTGCCAATGATAGAAAAACTTTTAGTGTTGTATATTTCATGGTGAGAGACACTAGTTGAAAAAGATGATTAAGATACCTGATATTGGCACTGGTGAAGGAATTGGCTTTGTTCTGTCATCTTTTGTAGCCTTTTCATTTCCTTGACTCTCCCCTATTTCATCTTGTGCTACCTGTTCAAATTCTGGGAAAATGCGATCCTCTGGTATGCTGTGATGTTTTCCATGGAAAACTGCCTCGCCCTCCTCGTCCTCCACCATTTCATCCTCATCTTCAGCTTCAACCCCATCTATGCTGTAACCATTATTTTCATCTGGACTTACTGGCACAAGTGCTAGTCGATATGCATCGTCTGTGAATGTTTTTCCGTCCAAGACATCATAGACTTCTCGATCAAAGAAACCAGGAAGTCTCCTATCCCTTCTTAAATCGCTTCTCATTGTCCAGAACGATTCATTAACTCCTTTTACCCGAGACTCCCACATTTTTATCTTCCTGAAATCACAGACGAGGTTACTCCATCTTTTCCGGCATTGAACTGGTCCTCGGTTCACTCCTCGCTGTCTACAGTATGATGAGACCGAGTCCCACTTCGGCTCATACTGGTCCGACCCGAAAATTGAACTGGATCTTCTACCCTTTAGCCCTCGATCCTCTGCAACCTTCTTGCCTTCTATGAGGAAAAGTGTTTCTTGTCTCCTCCATCGAGGGTGTCTCACGATTTTATTCTTGTAATCTGTTCTTTCAGTCGACAGTGGCTGTCCATTTTCAACACAAGTTGAAGATGTACCATTTTCATGCACGCCACTGGGCTCTGACGCCATGAATTCTTTTGCTAAAATTATTTTTGTTAGAAACCAGAGGATATTGTACCCTTATCGTTTATGTTCCTTTGAAATGTTCTTTGAGGCTTATATTCTGTATGTTATGTTGGGTTTTACAGAGGGACACGTCCTCTCTCTTAGTGATTAAATATGCTAATAAAGAGATATATTCTTTATTTAGGCATTGAATTTCTAGATTTGAGCATGTACCTCTAAGCCGCACTGCCCTTATCTTGGGAAATCTGTGCACTGTCATTTTCCTAATCTTTTGCCTGTATAAATGCTCTTAATGTTTGCAAGGGCAGCTTTTGGCATTATATTTTCTAATTTATGATTGACAATTACTTTCTTTTGCCTTAAAAAGTTAAAACAGAAAAGACATGTTTCTTATAAGGTATATAAGTCTATTAGATAAGACTAAACAATATAAAGTACGGAATTTTGACTTGTTTTGTGTTAACCTTCCTCACTAAGTAACCATACCGTAATGTGGCTGACCATAATATAAATTTGTGACCTCACCCCGCTATTTGGATGGACAATTTTAAACTATGGCACGTAATCGTTAGTCACCATATGCTCGTAAATGAGTACCATGTCTTCTCAACGATGGTGAGCCGGCAAAATTTAGGAGCTTTATTAGAACATGGTTCGTTCCCAAAGGCACAATATTAGAAAATGGCTAGGGTAGTTGAAGGGAGTAGTAAGAATAATTCTATCCAGTTTTCAGGGAAATATGCTGATTTTTTTATTTTTTGTGAAAATGTAATTAATGCACTTATCGATACAAATAGAAATCAAGTCAAAATAATTTATGATTTTATGCAAATAAAGAATGAAGCTAAGCAACTTACCAAATAATCAAAAGTTTCTTTCTATTGGTCCACAAAAATAAAGGGTTAAGAATCAAAAGGCTAAACTCGTGTTCTGAAAAAAGATTGAAGTGGTGGTCAATAAATAAATAATTTTTTCTTCTTATTCAGAAAATAAATTGGTAAAACAAGTTCTTGTTCAATTGGATTTCGAGTGAATCAGCTGTTTATGTGTTTCTTTTAATGGAGTTTACATTTGCATTTTTACATTAATAAATATTAGAATTTGGATCACGTCTCTATTTTTTGACCATTTTGACTAGTTCGATTTAATTCTTATAATGTCTAACCTATGTAATATGACACTCCACCACAATCTTCCAAAATATTAAGTGCCCGTTTAGGAAAGATTTAAAACACAATATTATATTTAATAAATATGGGCATGTCATATATTTACTCTCGTTTCATTTATTCTCTTCTCTATCCTAGGACAGCCAATTAAGTCATTTTGGAATAAACATGCAAAAGTATTACTCATTAATTAGGTAATAATTCCTTGTAGGCGCAGTGTACAGGCAGCTCTTGTTCCCTAGTCTGTTAGGGTACATCCCGCGATTTATCTCCCTCACAAAATCCTAGGAGCGAAACGGGGCGGGACGAAGCCCTCAAGATTGGGGTTCAACCTTCATTAATCAGGTAATAATGTGTCTTCATTTGCCTACCAAAATCTCAACTCATTACGATGGTAATCTCAATTATAGCAGATGATAAATCCCAACTCTCATACTTTTTGCTATGATTTTCTTGTTTTAGGAGAACGTCATAGGATTAATCTTGAGGTTTTTTTGCCAGCGAGCATATGTATTGCTGGTTCGAAAATCACGAAAATACAATATACAAATGAAACTTTTTTAAATAAAAAATTTAAAATATTATTTAATTTGATCCATCTATATCATTTACGTATTGTTATTTATTTTAATTTTAAAATAAATATATTAACACGATACAATATGACTACCTACATGTCATAGTATTTATTGATCGATTAGTCAAATAATTTAGACAGCGCAATCAAAAATTGGATCAATGTCAATTAATCAAACATCCTTTTACTTTTATTGGATCAATGTCAATTAATCAAACGTCCTTTTACTTTAGTTGACTGATTTTAATGGTCTACGTGTAAATTATTCTCAATTCATACTCATCTACTTAGCTCCTTAGCTCCTGTTTGTTTTGAATTAAAATCTTAATTCAAAGTCAATATTAAATTTTAACCACATACTTTATAAGATTCATAACTTTTCAACTATACATTTCAAAAATTTCTATAAATTTTTTTTTTTTTTAATTCTCATCAAACATCCTCTTAAGCCCACACAAGTCAACATTCAATCACTTAAACTACATGTTGACAAACCCACTGATGCTAAAATCAATGTAATCCGGAGGCAAAGTCAAAATTTTTATCTAGTATAGGTAGTTATTAATAGAACCAAAAATAAAAATTTTAATACGCGTGTCAAATAAATACGTCAATAGAATTTACTATGACGTATACTTTCAAATAAATTGGTTCTATAAATTGCAGCTCACCCTGCATTAAGCCCCCGTTTGTCTCGCATTAATTTTCATTAATTATATTTAATTTCTCTCTCTTTTATTTTCAATCACACGATCTTCCATAAAATAATATTACATGTAAATCGAAAATTTTTCCTTCATTTTCAACCACTCATTTTTAGAAAAATCATTATTCCTCCCATTTTCATTTCCACAAAATCGGGGTGAAACAGGGGCTTACATTCTAGCAGCATTGTTCAGGACAATAATTACAGTCTCTAGATACAATATTTTAGCGTATTTGAAATTTTAGTTAGGACCTATTTGATTCCAATTGTTTTACAAAAATATATGGTTAAAAGTATGAAAAAAGTTTTGAATTTATGTATAAGTTAATTTATGAGAAAATATGTTATTAAAAAATAAATAGAAACGGGGAATGGATTGTCTTTATTTTTTTATTGGTTGCGAAAGTCATCACAAGACATTGGACTAGGGAATTAGCATGTTGAAAACGTGTCACCATGTCAACACGATGACATGTGGTAGCTTATAACTGTGCCGACATTTGCTATAAGGGTTTTTATATTTGTACATCAAACTACACAGTTTGGTATGCAACTCCCTTGCAATAGGGAGCCCGTGCCCAATGCGAAAATCACGGGCCCTATATTGGGAGGGGGCTGTATATCAAGCTGTGTAGCTCGGTGTACTTGTAGTAAAATCATTGTTATAAAATGTTTTCCTACTCTTTGAAATGAATGTATGACGTAATTCAGAGCATGGATGGTGTCATTGCTAATTTGATGAAGTATGGTAATTTGAAAAGATGTTATAATTTCTTTAACCTTGAGCCAAACACGATCTTGGTGGTCGGTGGATGGATAAAATTGAAGTCACTATCATTTATCATACCAGTAAATTAATGCAGTGATTAATTATTAATTAGGGATAACTATGATATATAGGACAGTGACAACCCAAAATTTATGGTAAAGAAGCTAACAAAATAATAAATTATACGTCTCTAATATTTCAATAATTTAAATTTAATTGCTCCCTTTCTGAATCTTGTGACTAATATAACCCAAGAAACCCGAAGTATATTTGAATGTCTCGTCACTAGTATACTAATTATTATCAACTATCATATATATATATTTTTTTTTTTTGGTCCAAATAATATTGTACCTTTAACTCTTTTTACTAACAAATATAGGTGGTGAAAAAATTGAAATCGACTTTTATCCATTTATTGAAAGATATTTTAAAATACTTTAAGAGACATAACCAAACATTTTATTTATTCAAAGTAACAAAATGTATCAAGTTCGACTAGATACGAACGTAATCTCTTGCATAGGTATAAATTCTTCCACATCCATAACCCGTTATAGTAGATTAAGATATATAACTTGTTAAGACATTAATTTTATCTAAAAGTCACTCGTTGTATGGAGTAAGAATCGTCGTTTTGTTGACATAATATTCTATTTTACATAATCATGGCATGCTGATAAGATACAATAAAATAATCTTAGATAATGCCAAGCACTAAATAGAAATTAACAATTCAAATTTTATTACTATCACGAGTCAAGTGTACACGACGTTAGATTAACTAGATAGGTTGGTCTAGCCGTGTCAGGCTCCATTTGTGCACGTGTACTTTAAAAAATTTGGGATGCAGGTGTGCTACAAAAGAGAAGTTTGTGTCGGATTGAGAGTATATATAATATATTCCTTCTCATCCTTCAATAGACAACTTGTGCATCTTCTGTACCGCGTTTCACGACTTGTGTCGTAGAATTCACATGCTTCTGACTTCATGTCGAGGAAAATCAATTCACAGAGTTACACTTGATTTAACTTGGAATGTCCATTTATTACACGTGACATGTTAGGTGAAACTATTAAGTTCGAGTCACAAAAAAAATATCCAATTAACGAATTGGAGCCTTGAAGTCAAGGTCGAACTCATTTCACATCCAGAATTGGATTTTTGTTATGAAGAGACAAGAGCACGAGGCCTAGTCAATAACGAAAAGTTGAATTAATGAATATGCACATGCAATGCTCCATGCTCATGCTTCTTGGGTAGAGGAAAAGTTTGATGAAGATGCACATATTGTGCTTTTTATTCAACACCTTTCGATAACGAAAAATAGAAAATGCACATATAAAACGTTTCGAACTTTTCTGTGAGCCTTATCATCCAAGGTACAATGACAAGATATATGAAGTGGAATGCAAGCGATATGTAACATTTCATATTCTGATCACTTCAGAAAAAAATGTCATTTATTTAAGTTTATATATAATCCCATGTCATGTCATTATCTAACAAATAAACCTTGATTTCTTTTCGACACATGTCCCGTGAATTTTTTAATGCGTTTCATTCCTCAACCACTTCCTCTTCAATTGTCAATTCTACGGTTGGTTCCTTAGTGGTTCCTCTCAAGATTTCTTTATACATTTTCAATAAATTTAGCAATGTATCCAACAAATTATTTATAAAATAGAAAAAAGAAAAAGAAAAAGCAAGCTGAACTATGCCTTATTTGTTTATTTTTTGCTAAAATTATAAGTTGATAGAGATGAGTGAGTGGAGGAAGTGAGTAATACTTGTGTATCCTACAAATTTTTTTCTCTATATATATATATATATATATAACGAGACTCAAACAAAGTTGGCTTTTTCAAGATTATATACTAAGCACAACAAAAACCTACACATACTCGTATAGTTAACGGGTAATATTTAAATCATGTGATAGTTTGACAATACACTTTCCTAATTTAAATTTTATGGAGTCTAAAGCTTTAGTAAACAATTGACGCATGGTAACCACAATTTAATGTTATCCTTTGTATATTTTGTGAATAATTTGTTAGTCGCGAACAATCCTATTGATTTTTGTAAGAGAAGATATCAAAGATCAATACCATAAAATACAAATAAATATGTGTGTGTGTCTATATATATATATATTACTGAATCATTTGGTCTAAAATACAATTTTTTAGCACGTGACGAACTTATCATTAAAGCTTTTATAAATTGGTGGTCATGAAAAAACCTGATTATGCTATCCTCCTCTTCTATACTACCGTGTTAAATCACTTTATAAGTTATTTATTTACTTATTTCCTATAAGTTTTTTGCTTAGACAAACGTGCTCCCCCAAGCTACCGATATCACATATTTTTCATATGTTATTACAATTTTAAATACTCTAATATTTCGAAGCAATGGTTGAGGAGTTGTACCTATAGAAAGACGACACCTATGCATCATTTGTTAATTTTTGTATTCTGTAAAAGAATAATGCTATTTGCAGTCGCTCATTACAACAGTCGCCCTACGTGGTATACACATGGCAGGTAGTTATTTGATGCATTAATGTTCATTAAAATCCATCAAATAACCACCTGCCATGTGTATGTCAAATAATCACCTGTCATGTATATGTCACGTAGGACGACTGTCGCAGTGAGCGACTACGAATAGCATTACTCTCTGTAAAATCACCTCTACTATATGAACATATTCAATGACAGAAATTTATGCACAGATACACTTGGTATTCTCTCATTTGCAATTAAAAAAAAACTGTCAATCAAAATCTGTTCCTTCATTCCCTGGAAAAAAAAAAAGGTCCCTATGTTTGACCCTGTTTGTTTAGCTTTTTTCCCTACAAATTGGCACATACCACAGTCCCGTTCCACCCTGTAACATTTCTGTGTTATAAAAATTGGAAAATGTCTACATGTTAAAATTTTGTGGTATCATAATAGTTTATTATGTGGCATATTTAGTCTGTCTTTGACAAATTTATAAATAGTTGTCAAACGAAGCTACTTTTGTCGAGTTATATATGTCATTCATTAATTGTATAATTCTTTTGAGATTTTATTCTTAATAGCACCAGTCTGGGGTCCTATATCAGCTCGAGCCTTTTTCAATCGCTTCCGAGAAGACCATGAGATGATGCATTCACGTGACCTCCAAAAATTAGAAGGCGTTCTTTCACCCTCACATCTTGAGGTCTATCACTTTACTAGAACTATGCTACGATGGTTAATTCGATGCATTCAGGTAAAATTTGTCCTTAAAAATGTACGTTTTGTTTGTAGGAAATGGAATTTGCTCGTTCTCTAAGACAGAGCAAAGTGAGTGTTAAGATCTGTCAGGTAATTTTTCTCTCACTTTTGGGTCATATGCATAGGTTTGTATCATTGTTTTCTTATTGTTTATCGTGAGCTACTTGGCTTTTCGTGCAAGTATACTAAGATCTTGGATTATGAAAAAAGGTTGATTGTGTTAAGTTGCAAGTGGCATGTCGATGCATGTTCAATCAAATATTTATTACACCAAAGGTTAATGCTTTTAGGGGTCTAAACAAGCCCAACTGGACTGAGAGCAAACAATTGGGTGTTCATGCTTGCTTTCTTTACAAACTAATCTCAATCGGTTGGAGTTGAGCTTGACTAGTTTGGTGTTTTTCTATAAATTCTCTTATTTGTTAGATTATTGAGCCAAACTACAAATTGAATGAACACAATAAAAGTTTTAACTTGGCTTGTTTGATTACTGAGTTCCTAAACAAGCTTCAATGAGTTCTGATACTTTACTTTGTTTCTCTCCTGTAAATGCTCTAAAAATTAAATATAGTATGCTCTGAAATGGAAAAAGGCAGAGTTGACATTTAATGAAATGTAAAATTGAACACGGAAAAGGAGGAATTTCAAAGAACACAGTACAATTCTTTTTCTGGTGATACATAACATATAATAGATTAGTCCAAAACTTCTATTGTGCAATTGTAAGTTATTAAACTGCAATTCAGGTTTCAGATCATTTTATCTTATTGCAGAAAATTACATAAAAATATTCTTGCTTCATTTCATCAAGAAGCTACCAAATCAGGAAGCTGAGATGCCCAAAGAGAGGGGGGTGGGGTGGGGGATGAAAGTGAGCAAGAGATATATGCGTATTGAAGACACAACTCAGACTTGAAGAGAAGCAGAAAAGCATATTCTTCTGCTAACTTGGTGAAAAGTTTTGTCCTAAAATCCACTGTGGTTGATGAAAATATGGAAAACAGGGGAAAATTTTGTTCTTGCTGTTCATTCTACGGAATTGGATCCCTTCTCTTTGGTGATGAAATTTTATTCAACTGGAGGTTTAAATAGCATCTGTGGTTTATCACTATTGGAACAACGTGGGTCATACAGCTGCATTTAGAATTGAGTATTGTGTACTGTATGTTTGTAGGTTCTATTCATAAGTTACATGCATCGTTGACTCTATACTTGCTAACATATATACACACTGTTATTGAAGACTTTTATTGAGTTGCTGAATTTTGGCAAGCCTCAGCCACAACTTCACTTCTTGCATTGAATCTGGTTAGGCTTACGTGTCTGGCAACATATTATTTATGCTTATTTTTTCTTTGTGACAGTACTCTTATGATCTTCTGATACAATACTTACACAAAACTCAATCAATTACAATGCTTGGGATCGTCAATGAGCGTATTAACTTCCAGGGTACAACTCCTCATTTCTAATCGCAGGTTTCCTATGCCTGTGCTATTATTTTCTCACTTCCATTGCTTTTTATTTTCTTGAATTACCCTCTTTGTTTGAATGGATATGAAGCTGCTTATTCAATGGACAGTTTCACCTGGACAACCAAGCTCAATTTCTGATGATGCTGACGTTTTCACACTTGTCGGGAGTGGTCATGATGCTGCTGATCTTGTTAATCAGAAAGAAATACATTGGGGGGTTAGTCTACAATGCACATAAGATATATATACATCTACTATGTTATTTTAAATCTAATGTAGTTGAAATTTCTTTAAGAAAGTTGCTTATTTATAATGCTACATGCCTACTAGTTTGTTGGAATATTTTGTCATTTACTATACTAACATGTTTAGTTTTTTTGTTCCCTCACCAGTAACTTCTAAATGATGACTACTTGTGGTTGACGCTTCTCTTCAAAAATTAGATGAGGCCATATGTGTCGTCCAATAGTCGATGTTGGAAATCATATTGGCATGCAAGATGAGTAATGAGGTCGATTCCACTTGGCTAGAAAATAGTAATTATTGGTTTTTGTGATCTAAATTTTGAGCAAATTCCACCACTTCCATGGGGTTATACAAAAGTTTAGATAGTGGAAGCTATTTAGTGCTGAAGCGTTATGAAATTCTTGTAATAAGAATTATGTAATAAATAAAAACGATATTTGAACAATCATGTCACGTATATATTGAATAATAATTGATTGTTGTTGAAAAGTATACAATGCCAGACAAAATTATTTCCTACTACTACTAACTAATATAAGGTAACTAAAATAAATCCTAATCTAAAAAAATTAGAAATCTTATTCTAATCAATAAAGAAAAGAAATCATATTCTAAACAAAATATCAGAATAAAAAGGATAAAACCTATTACTACTAAACATCTTATTATAATTATCTAATTTTTATCCTAATTATAGTAGGATTGTTCTACATCATTCTCTCTCACTTGAAAGAAATCGTCCTCGAGTTTTGTTGAAGAAAAGAATCTTTGATAACTTGTGTGTTTTCAAACTTGGCTAGGATTCGTGGAAATTCTCTAGTCACATGTTGACATGTTCTATACTTGTTGAAACAATTAACATTCAAAGTAGTTAAAGTCTGCGAATTCTTATTAGCTTACTTCTCCATGAGCTCGTGATTCTTTTCAAGACTCAATGTAATTAGCATCCGCGTGATGTGAAGAGTTTTGTGGATTCCCTCGATTAGCCAAACAAACAAAAAAATGACTCAACCGGGCTTTGTTTTTCGAGTTTGTTGAACCTTCATTCGTCGTTGGTGATTCGACTGCCACCAGGATCATCGTTAGCCATCAGATTAAAGCAATTTCCTTGCTCTGATACCAATTTTGGTGCGAAAGTGTTATGAAATTCTTGAAATAAGAATTATGTGATAAATAAAAAAGATATTTGAACAATCATGTCACGTATATATTGAATAATAATTGATTGTTGTTGAAAAGTATATAATGCCTTTGTAGTTATAGATAAAATTATTCCCTACTACTACTAGGAAACTAATATAAGGTAACTAAAATAAATCCTAATTTAAAAGAAATTAGAAATCCTATTCTAATCAATAAAGAAAAGAAATCATATTCTAAACAAAATATCAGAATAAAAAGGATAAAACCTATTACTACTAAACATCTTATTATAATTATCTAATTTTTATCCTAATTATAGTAGGATTGTTCTACATCATTCTCTCTCACTTGAAAGAAATCGTCCTCGAGTTTTGTTGAAGAAAAGAATCTTTGATAACTTGTGTGTTTTCAAACTTGGCTAGGATTCGTGGAAATTCTCTAGTCACATGTTGACATGTTCTATACTTGTTGAAACAATTAACATTCAAAGTAGTTAAAGTCTGCGAATTCTTATTAGCTTACTTCTCCATGAGCTCGTGATTCTTTTCAAGACTCAATGTAATTAGCATCCGCGTGATGTGAAGAGTTTTGTGGATTCCCTCGATTAGCCAAACAAACAAAAAAATGACTCAACCGGGCTTTGTTTTTCGAGTTTGTTGAACCTTCATTCGTCGTTGGTGATTCGACTGCCACTAGGATCATCGTTAGCCATCAGATTAAAGCAATTTCCTTGCTTTGATACCAATTTTGGTGCGAAAGTGTTATGAAACTCTTGAAATAAGAATTATGTGATAAATAAAAAAGATATTTGAACAATCATGTCACGTATATATTGAATAATAATTGATTGTTGTTGAAAAGTATACAATGCCAGACAAAATTATTTCCTACTACTACTAACTAATATAAGGTAACTAAAATAAATCCTAATTTAAAAGAAATTAGAAATCCTATTCTAATCAATAAAGAAAAGAAATCATATTCTAAACAAAATATCAGAATAAAAAGATAAAATCTTTTACAAATAAACATCTTATTATAATTAACTAACTTTTATCATAATTACAGTAAGATTGTTCTATATCACTATTAAGAGTCACAACGTGAGCTAGCCTGCTATTAATCATGGCTGGAAAGATTGTATTCTTTGTTTGTTGGCTTTCTTTTATTAAAATTATGCTAATTCAGTCATGGACAGTAATTGTTAGTCATTCAGGAAATGGGTGGATCATTATATTGGTAATTTAACTTAGATATTTGGTTGTTCATGTTTATTCAATTTTAGGAAGGAGAACTTATATGTGTTAAGTTGGTTGATAATGATATTTTCGTGGCATGTTAGATTGTTGATGTTCAGTTAGAGTCAATTTCAGTAGGTGAATTGTGAGTGTCTTTAACTGGGTTCAATAGTTCTGACTTGATTTGTCTTTCTATCCTCTTCTTGCTTTCTTGTCCTCCCTCTGGCAAAGAGACGTATGGTTAAATATTATGGAGCATAGTGGCTAGATGAGTCCTTCATTTAGAGTTATAATACCATTTAAATTGTTACAGTTGCTTGAAGATTCCTTGGAAGAAAGGTTGGAGAAGGCAGGGGATCGGATTACAGATTCAGACAAAGCTGATGGAGAAGTGAAAGATGGGGACTTGGAAGAAAATAAGGTACTGAATATTTTAATTTTATGCATCTTTCGCTGCAGATTGTAATCCAAGCTTAAAGAGTCCTCATATGTCCATTATTCTAGATTCAGCCTTTCAAGTTCACTTGCATCTTTAGACTATTCTTCGTTCATGTTCAGAAAAGATCAGCTGATGGCGGAAAAGGAGGCTCCATGCAGAAAAAGTTGAAAAAGGACAAGGTTGTTGCTACAACAGGAAAAGCTTCTCGATCAGAGAGCAGCACTACATCTGGAGCACCACGTGTAAAACCAGAGCTAACCTTGCCAATAATGTATTTTCTGGACTATCCTTGTTTCAGTTTTCCTCATTCAAATCACCTCCCTTTCTGCTCCACTTCTTTTAGAGTTTGTTTGGCATAGGTTTTTTCAAGTGCAAAATGATTTTTTTGGAGCATGTGTGGTTAAAACGTGGATAAAAGTTGTGGGTCCAATGAAATGCGTGGTTAAAATTAGTTTAGAAAAATCTTTGCCAAACAGCTCTAAATATTTTATTTTTTCAAGAAGTCTCTATTTTTCTGGTTGGAAAGGGGAGGGAAAAAAGTGTTCAAGTTGGGCCTGTTTACAAAAAACGTAAGTTTCAGGTACATCATAATTGTGTTGTATAGAGTCACATAGTATTTGGTCATTGTAGGAAGAATATCTATGTATAGATTTGCATCCATCATATACTTATGTGATGCATGCTAATAGTTTCTTGTCCCTCCCACCTCCCTCAACCAAAATAAATGAAAGGAAAAAATGAAAAAAGAAAGAGAGGTCTGATCATGCACCGAGCTCTTCCAATCATTTGATCAGGCATCAAAGATAGCTCCAGGTAGATGAGGATGCACATTTTTACATCCACCGCATGATCACTCATTTCAAGAAGGTTTCAAATATGTTTCTACCACCTTGAATGAGGCTGGGTTTGTTGTCCCACTTCCGTTGTGCTGGTTTTGGTGTATTTTGCTGGATATCTTTCAATTTGTTGATGGCAGTGTCCATTAATCTTCAATAGCTGCTGGCTAATTTTTTATATTGTGGATTTCTCTCTCTTTCAGACCTACAGAGGTGGAACATTCTATTCTCGAGGACCTGAGGAATCGGGTGCAGTTGAGTAGTATGACATTGCCTTCTATTAGCTTCTACACCTTTATCAATACACATAATGGGTATGCCAATCACTGCGAAAACTATTTATCTTCTTTTGGTATCTTTTAATGTGGTTAGCAATCATACCGATCTTTGCAAAATCTTACGATCTATTGATTAGGTTAAACTGTGCATCGATATCTCATGATGGATCACTTGTTGCTGGCGGATTTTCTGACTCATCACTAAAGGTTTCCTAGTTTTTGTGTAATTTACGAAGTATCTCAAATAACTTCAGTTTCCCATGCTCATCTGAAAGCCACTATTTACAGGTTTGGGACATGGCAAAGCTTGGGCAGCAAACTGGCAATAGTAAGTAGATTTTGATAATTTCCTCCATCAAAGACTGTCATAGAATATGCCTTTATTATTCTTTATTCTGTTATTTAAATCTTGATTGGATGAAGAACTTTATGTTCATGGCATTAATGTCAATGTATTTAAACCTTTTATTTGTCTCGTTTAAAATTCTATTTGGTCACACCCTTCAATTTTTTTCTTGCTTGTCAAATTGCTATTTTTATCCACGTTGTGCAGTTAATTTGTACGTGTACTTGTTAAGCAACAACGAGGTGCTGATATTTATTAGTATCAGCTCCTTCGCAGGGAGAAAATGAGTTGGCTCCTAATGAAAATATACTTAATGCAAATGCGAAGGGAAGATCTTATACATTATTTCGGGGTCACTCTGGACCTGTTTATTCTACCACTTTTAGTCCATATGGAGATTTTCTTCTGTCTTCTTCATCTGATTCAACAAGTATGTGCGCATTCGCTGTTATTTTGTACTTTCTTTAGCTTCTTGTCCTAGCCTGCAAAATATGATTAAAATCAAACTGCTGGCATGCAGTTCGATTATGGAGCACAAAACTGAATGCAAATCTTGTTTGCTACAAGGGTCATAACTACCCCGTGTGGGATGTTCAGGTAGGATTTTGGATATTCACTTTTTAGTAAGCTGTATATCCCCATCCCTAAACTCTAACCAACTTTTAATCGAGGAAAAACTCAAAAATCAATAGTTATGCCTACTTTCCTTTCCTCACACTAAAGCAATAAGCATATTGTCAATGGATGAAACAATATTTCTTCTGCAATCAGCAGTCCAAATCTCTCCAATAAACTACACTCATTTTATTCTCTACGTGATTGAAAAGTTTTGGTTCACTACTCTTAACTCTTGTTTTGATATGATGTGTCATGCTGAATAAAGATTTTACTTTAGTATCACTGACCAAGATATTTGAGTGCATTTTTGTTTCCAAATCCCCGTGTATATTACCATTTGAACAATCAATAAATCTTGCTTGATTACACATGAGAATGATTTAGGCACTTCTTGTGTATTATCCTTTGATTAATAAAATTACTTGATTACCAATTAAAAATAAATAAATTTGGAATACAGGGCTATTTATAGAGATATACAGTGTATAAAGAATAAAAATTGATTGTACAGTAACAATACCTACAATCTTTGACCGTATTGATTTTAACCCTGAATTTGGCTGCACTAAATCATGCAAGATTTATCCTATCCCTAAATCTTTGCTGCTCTAAAATATTGTTTTCCACATTATATCAATTGGCTATGCTGCTAAGAATTGTTCATATTGAATCAAGTCCTTCAATTACTACAAAGATAGTAAAAATTTCAATGTCTGTATGATATCGAAAATATTTTTTAGCCAACAGTGCTTCCTGCATCATTAGACTAAATAGAGCACATTCAACATGAGTCACTTGAATGATTTTGCTCCATATTTTTCCCTTTTAATTTACTTACAGCCCTTGTTCATTCTGATAAATCTCTTATTCATGACCCATGCTAGAACAGACTCGTGATTCTGATGTTATTCTAGTGCAGTTTAGTCCAGTGGGACACTATTTTGCAAGTGCTTCACATGATCGAACTGCAAGGATCTGGTCTATGGACAGAATACAGCCTTTAAGAATAATGGCAGGTCACTTGTCTGATGTAGATGTGAGCACCTCTCTGTCTCTGTGCATGCGTGTAGATATTATCTTGCGAACATTAGTGTGTGCTAATCTAGTTCTATGTTTTACACGATCAATATATTCCCCCAATACCACACCAGTAAGAAAGAAGGTGAAAAGGAAAATGAAAGCTTATTTTCTTCATCCTTTTTATTGATACATCTTCTTAGGACTCTCTTTTTCGGTTGATTCTATTGATTCACCTCTTTCCTTAAACTCATGACTCAATTTGGGATCTTGCTCTCGTCATTGTTTACTGTAGTGAAGGCTGCAATGCTTGTCAATCCCCTAGGGGCTTCAGCTGTCATGGTCGATGACCATGTTAGATGTGTGAAAAATCATGTTAATCTTTTATAGCGTGTTGTAATGTGTAGTCATTGCTCTTTTTAGCATTCTTCAGAAACCTGGAAAAAAGTACATTAGAATACTCAAAAATAGGCATGGAGTTGATTTATCCATTTTGTTTTATTAACAAATTTCTGTTGGTATCTGAAGACATACAGGCAGGAATAGGATGGTGATGTGGAATAAGATTGAGTAGTTACAATTTATAAGTCACAAAGGAGGTAAAAGAATCTGGGGGTGGCAACCACAGAAAAGGAAACATGGTGGAAGAATGAGAAAGTCCTGGTAGTTAAGACTAAAATAGAATGCTATAGAAATGTTGAAAAAAAATATGAAAACATTGATGATTTTGAGAAGTACAAGTTAGCTCAATGAAAAGCCACGAATATAATTCAAAGGTTCTACGTAGAAGAACATGGGAAGTTGTATAGTTATCTTGGAAACAAGGAAGAGGAGAAATCTATTCACGAGATATCTCGGCAATGGGTGAAGGAAAGTAGAGATCCGAATAAATTCTAGCATATTAAGCCCTTGTTTGTGCCCCATTTTGGGGAAGAAAATGAATTTTTGAATAGTATATTGATGGGAAATGTGTAGTTAAAAAATGAGGAAAAGTTTTGAATTTGCGTGTAATATTATTTTATTGAAGAATATGTGGTTGAAATGATGTCAAAATACTGTTTAAGAATGTATTTCTTTGGAAAGAATGGGGCTCAAACTCAAACAAGGGCTAAATGTGAGAAACAAAGAGCTTTATTTTGTAATGATGAGATAACAGAAAGACTGGAGCATTATTTTCGCAAATTATTTAATGATAGGCTTAGTTTGGAGATTCGAGATTTCTCGAACTCAGTTGTGGATAGGAATGTTTATTATACTTGAAAAATCCGCCTTTTGGAAATGAAGGGATGTAAAGAGGATGAAGATTAGAAAAAGTAGGGAATTGTTTGGATGAGGTGATTATATGGTTTACAAAATTGTTTGGTGAGATTTTAAAGAATGAAAGTATATGAAATGAAGGAGAACTTTTATTGTGCCTATTTATAAGAATAAAGGGATATTTAAAATTGTACAAATTCGTGTCATGAGTCATACAATGGAAGTATGGGCGAGGCTGATTCACCCAAGACCAAGGCGTATTCAATGATTTGAGAGAATCAGTTCAGCGTTAATCAAAGGTTAATGACCCAAAGGAGTCTGAACTATTTACCAATGTTAGATTATTATATATCAAGGACGTAATATGTGCTGAAAGTACCTCCTTTTACTTTGTTCTTTGAAAAAAATAACCTAGTTTTTTGATATTTCTGATACTTTAACTTTGTGTGAGTTGTAACGACCGATTTTTTTGTCTTATTTGGATTAACACAATTTTGTTCATACTAAAGATTTCAATCGTAATATTACTTTTTCATTTCTTAGTGTGTGCAATGGCATGCAAACTGCAACTACGTTGCGACTGGATCCAGTGACAGGACCGTGCGCTTGTGGGACGTTCAAAGTGGGGAATGCGTTAGAATTTTCATTGGTCATCGAAGTATGATCCTATGCTTGGCAATGTCACCAGATGGTCGTTACATGGCATCTGGTGATGAAGATGGTAAGATCATGATGTGGGATCTTGCAAGCGGATGTTGTGTTTCCCCATTGGTTGGTCATTCCTCCTGCGTATGGTCTCTTTCTTTCAGGTGCAAAATATTTTCTATATCCCAAGCATCTCATTTAGTTGATGTTTGGCCCTTTTTTTTTCAAAATTCATTTTCAACCATACATTCTCCCATAAAATAGTTTTACATATAAACCGATTTTTTTTTCCTTTTTAAACGATACATTCTCCTTAAATAACTATCCCAAAATGGGGCTCAACCAGGGGCTTAATTTTTATATTGCATATCAAGTGAAAAGGTTGATTTACGAATTGTCATTTGTTGCATGTTTTACAGCTGTGAAGGTTCACTTCTTGCATCTGGTTCTGCTGATAGCACTGTGAAAATATGGGATGTGACCAAGAGCTTGAAGGTGTCAAAAACTGAGGAAAAGTAAGTTCGTTTTAACGGACTGTTTTTATGTAGATGATAAGTAGAAAAGAGGTAGGCTCTGTAATGAATAGTGCAGTAGCTATACATGAAAGAAGATCTACTTCCATAATCTCTCTCCCTCTGCAATAATTCTGGAGTTAGTACCATAGAAATGAAAAATCTTTCGCTTGTAAATTCAATGAATGAATGCTTCAGAAAAAGCTAACTTGGTAGCTAACTTTTGTTGCTTTGTTATTAATTATGTGCTGTAATATTTTTTTCACCAGCAAAAATGGAAAAACGAACAGACTCAGATCGTTGAAGACCTTGCCCACCAAATCCACTCCAGTCTATGCTTTGCAGGTATATACAGACTAATGATCACTTCTGTTGTCTATTTATGTGTTGGGATCTTCTGAAATCTGTTTCTACGGTTCTTTTGTAACAGTTCTCACGAAGGAATCTTCTATTCGCGGCTGGGGCTCTAACAAAAATTGCGTGAAAAAATATCTCGATGATATGCTGTGGACTTCAGAGATTTTGTTCCATTGGGCAGAGAATCTTGTAGAATGCACTGCCAGTCTTGCCTCCTGTTGCATTTTATTTTTCTAGTTGAATTGTTTCTTTTTCTTCTGGATTTTTGTTGGGAAGTTTTGAATAGTACTTTAATTCTAGAGCAGTTTTATTAACAAATTTCTGTTGGTATCTGAAGACATACAGGCAGGAATAGGATGGTGATGTGGAATAAGATTGAGTAGTTACAATTTATAAGTCACAAAGGAGGTAAAAGAATCTGGGGGTGGCAACCACAGAAAAGGAAACATGGTGGAAGAATGAGAAAGTCCTGGTAGTTAAGACTAAAATAGAATGCTAAAGAAATGTTGAAAAAAAATATGAAAACATTGATGATTTTGAGAAGTACAAGTTAGCTCAATGAAAAGCCACGAATATAATTCAAAGGTTCTACGTAGAAGAACATGGGAAGTTGTATAGTTATCTTGGAAACAAGGAAGAGGAGAAATCTATTCACGAGATATCTCGGCAATGGGTGAAGGAAAGTAGAGATCCGAATAAATTCTAGCATATTAAGCCCTTGTTTGTGCCCCATTTTGGGGAAGAAAATGAATTTTTGAATAGTATATTGATGGGAAATGTGTAGTTAAAAAATGAGGAAAAGTTTTGAATTTGCGTGTAATATTATTTTATTGAAGAATATGTGGTTGAAATGATGTCAAAATACTGTTTAAGAATGTATTTTTTTGGAAAGAATGGGGCTCAAACTCAAACAAGGGCTAAATGTGAGAAACAAAGAGCTTTATTTTGTAATGATGAGATAACAGAAGAGAAAATGAATTTTTGAATAGTATATTGATGGGAAATGTGTAGTTAAAAAATGAGGAAAAGTTTTGAATTTGCGTGTAATATTATTTTATTGAAGAATATGTGGTTGAAATGATGTCAAAATACTGTTTAAGAATGTATTTCTTTGGAAAGAATGGGGCTCAAACTCAAACAAGGGCTAAATGTGAGAAACAAAGAGCTTTATTTTGTAATGATGAGATAACAGAAAGACTGGAGCATTATTTTCGCAAATTATTTAATGATAGGCTTAGTTTGGAGATTCGAGATTTCTCGAACTCAGTTGTGGATAGGAATGTTTATTATACTTGAAAAATCCGCCTTTTGGAAATGAAGGGATGTAAAGAGGATGAAGATTAGAAAAAGTAGGGAATTGTTTGGATGAGGTGATTATATGGTTTACAAAATTGTTCGGTGAGATTTTAAAGAATGAAAGTATATGAAATGAAGGAGAACTTTTATTGTGCCTATTTATAAGAATAAAGGGATATTTAAAATTGTACAAATTCGTGTCATGAGTCATACAATGGAAGTATGGGCGAGGCTGATTCACCCAAGACCAAGGCGTATTCAATGATTTGAGAGAATCAGTTCAGCGTTAATCAAAGGTTAATGACCCAAAGGAGTCTGAACTATTTACCAATGTTAGATTATTATATATCAAGGACGTAATATGTGCTGAAAGTACCTCCTTTTACTTTGTTCTTTGAAAAAAATAACCTAGTTTTTTGATATTTCTGATACTTTAACTTTGTGTGAGTTGTAACGACCGATTTTTTTGTCTTATTTGGATTAACACAATTTTGTTCATACTAAAGATTTCAATCGTAATATTACTTTTTCATTTCTTAGTGTGTGCAATGGCATGCAAACTGCAACTACGTTGCGACTGGATCCAGTGACAGGACCGTGCGCTTGTGGGACGTTCAAAGTGGGGAATGCGTTAGAATTTTCATTGGTCATCGAAGTATGATCCTATGCTTGGCAATGTCACCAGATGGTCGTTACATGGCATCTGGTGATGAAGATGGTAAGATCATGATGTGGGATCTTGCAAGCGGATGTTGTGTTTCCCCATTGGTTGGTCATTCCTCCTGCGTATGGTCTCTTTCTTTCAGGTGCAAAATATTTTCTATATCCCAAGCATCTCATTTAGTTGATGTTTGGCCCTTTTTTTTTCAAAATTCATTTTCAACCATACATTCTCCCATAAAATAGTTTTACATATAAACCGATTTTTTTTTCCTTTTTAAACGATACATTCTCCTTAAATAACTATCCCAAAATGGGGCTCAACCAGGGGCTTAATTTTTATATTGCATATCAAGTGAAAAGGTTGATTTACGAATTGTCATTTGTTGCATGTTTTACAGCTGTGAAGGTTCACTTCTTGCATCTGGTTCTGCTGATAGCACTGTGAAAATATGGGATGTGACCAAGAGCTTGAAGGTGTCAAAAACTGAGGAAAAGTAAGTTCGTTTTAACAGACTGTTTTTATGTAGATGATAAGTAGAAAAGAGGTAGGCTCTGTAATGAATAGTGCAGTAGCTATACATGAAAGAAGATCTACTTCCATAATCTCTCTCCCTCTGCAATAATTCAGGAGTTAGTACCATAGAAATGAAAAATCTTTCGCTTGTAAATTCAATGAATGAATGCTTCAGAAAAAGCTAACTTGGTAGCTAACTTTTGTTGCTTTGTTATTAATTATGTGCTGTAATATTTTTTTCACCAGCAAAAATGGAAAAACGAACAGACTCAGATCGTTGAAGACCTTGCCCACCAAATCCACTCCAGTCTATGCTTTGCAGGTATATACAGACTAATGATCACTTCTGTTGTCTATTTATGTGTTGGGATCTTCTGAAATCTGTTTCTACGGTTCTTTTGTAACAGTTCTCACGAAGGAATCTTCTATTCGCGGCTGGGGCTCTAACAAAAATTGCGTGAAAAAATATCTCGATGATATGCTGTGGACTTCAGAGATTTTGTTCCATTGGGTAGAGAATCTTGTAGAATGCACTGCCAGTCTTGCCTCCTGTTGCATTTTATTTTTCTAGTTGCAATTGTTTCTTTTTCTTCTGGATTTTTGTTGGGAAGTTTTGAATAGTACTTTAATTCTAGAGCACATTATTTCTGAGGTGCTTAAGAAATAGTTATGTATCTTAAATCCTCTCTCTGATTCTCTAGGAGATAATAAGTAACACCTGTTCGTTTTTTCTTGCTTATTTTATCTATGCCTTAATATAAATTACAATTGAAACCCGATGAGCATATGAACTACTTGGCTCAGATTGTAGTCGAGCATTCTTAATTTCATCATGGAACATAATAACCTAAAAAATCTATATTAAAATGTGATTTTTGGCATAATAATCAAAGTTCGTGTTTTGTTTCAAACAGTAGTCTTGCTAACATCCTCTGTTTGGGTTTCATTAATTTCAAAATGTACTTCTCTTCTATAATAAAATGATATTACATATAAATCTAAGTTTTTCTTCTTTTTAATCACACATTTTTCAAAAAATCATTATTACAAAATATAATTTTCCCAAAATTTATTTATAATGGAGCTCAAAAAGGGGCCTAATTTAGCAACTTTTGATTAGTATGCTATATCTTGGCAAAATATTGTTGGTAAATAATAATTAATTTTTTTTTATAGTGATGAAATTAAAAGTAGAATATAAGTTAGGGGATAAGTTCTAAACAAATTGAAGTTGGTTGATCAAAACGAAACAAATCTGTAAGTTGGGTTTCTTCCAATGAAATTAAATGTAAAACTAGACATCTTGCAGGTTTGTTGTGCAATTATTTTGAAACACTAGGGTCTACTTGTTCCTTCTAAAAACCGTAACCCAAATAGTCAAATTTCCATAAAACGTTGTTACCAATGCCTTTAAAATGAAAAACGAACTATTTAATAATGCTGTAATATTAGGATCCACGTATTTGATGATTTCAAAGATGTCTTCATCGAGATGTAAGTGGATTATTTTTTTCCCTATTTCTCATCTTTCAATGATGTCGCGCTATGTGTTGTTTGTAAGGTCTTTCTGTCAAAAAATTATGTACTCGTAGTATGATTGTTCTTTTTCCCTGTAATTGCCTGTTATACGTGGAGCAAAAAGTCAAGAACAATAGGAAGCCAAAGAGACCATTAGTTTCTCTAATTACAATGTCCCCTGAAGCTTCTAGAATGATGCACTGATTTAAGCTTGAAGTCAAGGAGTAACACGCTTGCGGGACAAGACTCTTTGAGCGTTTGCTGAAGGAGAAGAACCCAAGAGTAGCCTGGAGTGCCCTTTTGTTTGTGGCCTTGTAATTATGCAACTGATTGAGGAAATCTTGCTTGTTGATTTAAGGTTTTTGTCATAAGTTCCTATGCCTAGAAGCTGTTCCGGACCAGATGGACTGTCTGGTATCTGATACTTCCTTTTGTTTCTGAGCAGTTCCCATATCAACTTGTCGTCTTTAGCTTGATCTTCCACCACAGTTAGAGAAGACAAAAAATTCGAAAACATCTTTGTTAAAGGCCATTAAACATATAGCATATGGTCAGCTGATCAGGCTATCCTTAAAAAAATGAGAATTTATACTTGACATTCATACATATCATATCCAGTAATATATCTGTACTGAAAGAGACATTTAAACAAATTCAGAAATGCAATGCAACCAAACTGAGTTTCATTATACAGGATGCATTCCATGACCATAATTCCCGTTGAACAAACCTATAGTAGATTTGTTTAATTTATGTGCAATGCTAATGAATATACTTCCCGTATTAAAATTTAACTTTTTTTTCCTGCTTGTAAAATTTGCTGCAACATAAGCACCAGATAAAAACAAATGATGATATGTAACAATACCTTTTGCTGCATCAAGTTTTCCTTTGTTTTCCTGTTATCTTCCAATAGGAATCTGTCGTGTGTTGTAAGTTTTTTCACCATCTCTTCTGATTCCTTCAACTTTCTCAATAACTCGAGCCTACTTTTTTCTGCCAATACTGCTCTGTTCCTTGCTTCCTGCAACTCTAGCCTCCTGACTCTCATTGCCCCCTCTATCTCTTCAACTACAGTCAATAGGCGATTGCATGTTCCTGTTGTAAATTCACCCTTTAGAGCATGGACATACTCAACCATGGGATTACACATTTTTTCAGCAAGATCACGTATCAGGCTATCTACTCCAACCTCCACTGAGCTAACGGCTGCTCCAACATGGTCAAATGAAGCTTTGAGGAGTTTTAGCATCATCAGAGACATGCCATTGTCATGGCTTGATTGATGAATAGCAGAAACATGCGCAAAAGCTTTATGAAAGAATCTTCTGATGGACACTTGATGGCCATAAAGAGTCTCGAGGATGTCACTTTTGCTTGAGTTAACCTGGATTTCAATTTGTTTAAGAAGATGAATCAGTTGCAAAAGCTGCAACTTTTGTTTCTCCCTCAGCTCTTTGCCTGCTGAGGTAGCTCTATCTGTATAGCTTTCTTCCTGCAAATTCATTTACAAGCAACTGAGTATGTATAAAGAAAAACTATTTATCTTTGAGATTCAAATTTCACAGAGGAAATTTCTATGACAGTACTCATAAATTTGAAATTCCAGGGTAGAGAGGTATGTTGAGCTTCAAATGAAAGAATTGTAAAACCAAATATGCTGCTCTCCACATGGAGATTGACTATAATTTGACAAAAATATCCAGAGTGATATCAATGCAAGTACCAGAAATGGAAAGCTCAGTTCTCAAAGTTCCTGAGCTTTGAAACCTAATATAGACACATGCAGAAAGTAAAGTAACTGTTTGTTCACACATCGTAATTATGTATCTATTGATAATCTTGTGTCATTGCACCAAGGAAATTTTCTTTTGAGATTGAAATAATGGTTTATATGGTTTATGTGCTAGAATGTAGGTGCTGCTCATCTGCCTACCGGCTACCTTGATGTTGTAAAAGGAAAATCTCATGAAGGCTCTTGCAGAAAATATAATAACAATTTAAGCCTTATTCCTAGAAAATTTCGGGCCAGCTACATAATTATATTTCACCACCAGGGGATGCCTCCGAAGAATGTGTTATAAGGATGAGAATCACTCTTATCCAAGAATTAAGAGCAATCAAAAACACTCAAGTTTAGGAGTAATTTATGTTAAACGTTTTTCTTCATCAATGTAATTACTTTGCCTCAGGCGTTGGTTGTCTCTTTGATTTTACAGCTTCATATATTCTGTAAAAATTCAACTTGGCTGTAGTGTACAGTAATGAATACAGATTTTTCATCCATTTTCTTTGTCTCCGTACTCATCAGTACTATTTACCAGGTTTCAGGATTACTATATAAACCTCACTGAGTTTCTTTGCCACTTTGTTCCATACTTCCATTATGTGTTGTATCAGATAATCCTAACCTAGGCTTGTGAAAGCTAAAAACGCAATCAGAGTTTCAGGAGAACAACTCATCCACTCATATTTAATGCACTCAAAGATCATTGTTATGATATAAGTATTCGCCTCCATATTATTAGCCAAGTTATCTGATTTCTGGATTGCTGAAACTGATCTGATAAGTTCTTCAATTCCGCTTCCACGCCAGCAACCCTACCTCACGTTTTGATACAAGATCCTTATTTTATGCACCGTCACAAAAAGGACAAAAGAAAGAAAAAAACAGGCGCTTCAGTATAATCAGTGCTTGGGACTCACACCAAATACGTGCATCAAAGCACACGGCGCACGCACTCTTCTATAGCTTCTTAAATTTCGAATAAAAGAAAAAACATTCAGGTTCAAAAAATAAAGATGTACGAACGATTATGATCCTAGAAGCTTTGACTAGTTTAAGTAAAGGTACAAGCACTGAAGAACAATGTACTACATTTGATGCAGTTGCTAATACTTAAAATACACATCGCAATTTTAATTATTGTCGGCATGTTCCCAGTAAAGCAATAAGACTGACTGATTTACAGTTGTACAGTATGGATTAAGGGAATAAGCATAGAAGGTAAAGCCCGTGCCTAAGTAGTGGTACAAGCACTGAAGCATGATGCGCAACATTGACACTGTATTACCCAAGCTTAGAAACTAGCATTCTCAACTCCGCATAGGATTTGCCATGAACACAACTCAGAGTTCCGAATTGAAAAATAAAACTTAAGACTTATGTAAAGAACAAATGAACAGATACAAAAAAAAAAAAAAAATCAGAACATTTGATTAAAAAAACAGAGAGAATACTTGAGAATGTGAACGGTTAGTATCGGTAATGATAGTACTGAATCTTCCCTCCTCAGCCATTTCAACGGTCTTCAATCCCACCAGCTTCATCAGCGGCAGAGCCAGGGAGGTAAATACATCTTCCGCCTTCACAACCACGACATAGATTAATCAAACGCTGTGAGCTAATAATTTAAAATAATTTGATTTTTCTATCATTAGCTTAATTAATCGATCTATTGAAATTCTACTTCGCGCAAACTGTCTTTGATCTGAGAATTGAGCTGATTAAACGCCAGTTTTAGCTGTTCATGACGAGAAACAATCTGCAGAATCTTCAATCGGAGATCGGCGATTTTTGGTGGAAAATGGGAGTGAAAACCAGGCGTCCGCCCATTCATTGCTTCTTTTTGGCGGGAAAAAAGAGGAAATTTTGTCTGAATTGAAACTGCAGAGAGAATGAATAAACACGTATAGATGGCCAATGCTAACAAGTTTTTTTACCCTAAGATTTACTTAAACTGAGGATGCTCGCTAAGAATCGGGTAAATTTCATCTGTGATCACTGAACTTTTAAGCTAAATATTAATATGCTTAATAAACTTTATTGTCTCAATTGCTTTCTAAACTACAATTTGCTTTCAATCAGGTCATTAAACCACAATTCAATTTCATATCTCACCACTTTGTCAATTGTCATCTTCCCAATTGATGAAAATTAAAACTTTGGGACCCAATTGAGATTTCACTAAAATCAAGCGATCACGGATTAAAAAGTTTTTCTGTCTACCCTAATTTATGATTACATTATAATCTATTTGATTATAAGCATGAAAGTTTTGGGTTAAAGAAATAAGGGAAAAATTCAAATTTCAAGTGTATTGTTTACACCAATTCAAAAGCTAGGTCAATAGTTTAAAAGTTCAAAATTCAGGTATGTTTATAATTAATTAAGTATAATAAAATCATTGTTATACAATTAATAATAACAGATTCATAATTATCGATCACAGATTTATTCATTTTTCACATATCATCAAATTAACTGATTACATATTATTTTGATGTCATAAATCAAAATTTTTGTAGATTACAGATTTATTCTTAGATCACAGATCATTCAAATTACAGGTCATATTTTATTGATGGATCACATAGGTCACAGTTTATTGGTCTGGATTTATTTTTCAGTCACAAACACCTAATTTTTTGTCATAAATCAGCGAAATAGTTGGTCACAGACGACTAAATAGTTGGTCATAGATTCCAAACACCCCACTACACTGGTCTCAATCCAGCACAAATTTTGGCCACAAATCACCACCACCCAATCAACGCTTGCACCACACCACCGTAACACTACACCCAATCTAGATCCCATTCCACCACAATACTTGGTCACAAACACCATACACCCCCTCCACAACACATCACAATCACCGCTAACACCACATGAAAACCACCACCGCACCAACTATTGGTAACAGCTCAGCGTGCACAACACTATGTTTGTCACTGGCGCTCGAAAGGCAGTCAATGTGGCACACGCCAGAACAAACCTCCACCATCGCTGTAATATCGACGCTCAAGTCGTGCGCAGAGTAGCCCAAAATCAAGGCCGAAGATCTGAAAGCATACTTCTTTTGACGATCCTGAGCGGTAGCAAGACGTTGCCGGATAATTTTTACTGCATCAACCATATCTCGCACTAGTTCTGGCCCTAAAACCCGTTTCTCTCCAATTTCATCCCAATGTATAGGCGATCTACACTTGCGGCCATATAAAACCTCAAAAGGAGCCATTCCAATTTAAGATTGATAACTATTGTTATAGGAAAATTCTATCAAAGGTAGATACTTGTTCCACTTTCTCGAAAAATCTAAAGTACAAACGCATAACATATCCTCTAATATTTGAATGGTTCGTTCCAATTGGTCATCTGCTTGAGGATGAAATGCTGTACTAAAGGAGAGTCCAGTACCTAAAGCTTGGTGTAATCCTTTCCAAAATGCTGATAAGAATCGAGGATCCTGATCATATATTATTGATGTTGGAATACCATGTAGACGTACAATTTCTTGTACATATAATTGGGCATATTTTTTCGGGGAAAAGTGGTTCGAACAAGTAAAAAGTGCGCCGACTTAGTTAGTCGATCCACTATAACCCAATTAGCATCATAATTCTTTTCTGTTCGGGGCAATCCCACCACAAAATCCATTGTAATCTTTTCCCATTTCCATTTAGGTATTTGCAATGGTTGAAGAAGTCCTGCTGGACGTTGATGTTCAGCTTTAACTTGTTGACAAGTTAGACACTTACTCACATATTATGAGATGTGACGTTTCATTCTTGGCCACCAAAAATGGAGTTTAATGTCGCGATACATTTTTGTAGCTTTTGGATGAACAAAATATGGGGTATTATGTGCTTCAGCACATATCTTAGTTCAAAGCGTTGACTCAAGCAAGATCGAAGCTGTAACAAATTGGCCACGACTAACAAATGTCACGGAAGTTCGAAGTTTCTTGGGACTTGTAGAATATTATCGTCGTTTTGTTGAGGGATTTTCAAGGATTGCAGTTCCATTAACTTGAAAAGGAGTACCTTTTATTTGGTCGGAGGCATGTGAGCGAAGTTTTCAGGAACTTAAGAAGAGGCTAACTACAACACCGGTACTAGCTCTTCCGTCTATCTCTGAAAATTTTGTGGTGTATAGTGACGCCTCTGGAAATGGACTTGGGTGTGTTTTAATGCAAAATGGTAAGGCTATTGCTTATGCTTCATACCAATTGAAGGAATATGAAAAGAATTACCCTACTCATGATTTATAATTAGCAGCTGTGGTGTTTGCATTGAAAATATGGAGGGATTATCTTTATGAAGAACGTTGTGAGATTATACAGATCACAAGAGTTTTAAGTGCTCTTTCACTCAAAAGGAGTTGAAAATGCAACAAAGGCGATGCTTGAGTTAGTCAAGGATTATGATTGTAGTATCAATTATCATCCTGGAAAAGTTAATGTTGTAGCTGATGCCCTCAATCGAAAGACCTTTCATGAAAATAACTTACTAGCGCAATTACAATGAGAGGTTCAACTATTTAATTTGGAAGTTAGTGAAAATATGAATCTCACAACACAACCTATATTATAAATGGGTTTAGATTTTCGCTTTAATAATTCTTAAGACAAACTACGCATTCCCTAACTTAAATAGGATGCTTTCCTTAGTACGATCAAACTTATACTTTTCACTAGCAATTCAAAACACTACTTCATTAAATAAATTCAGTAAAAGAAATTTCTTAAATAATAAATATACATACCAGCATGCCAATGTTTACTCAGTCCCCAACTATACATGTTAAGTCTTCAGGATGTTATCAAAACCTGGCTCTGATACCACTCCATTTATACTGAGACGCACTACTCTTAATTTCCCTAATTTATTTATTTTTATCCTTAGATTAAAATCATATCAAATATTTTGTAGTAAAATCAAAACATATCAAGGAAATCAAATTTCAGAATATAAAGAGTTCAAAGAACCGTCAAGTTTATATTATACCAAAAGAGAATTTTGTCTTACAAAATATACCTCATTACACCTTAGTCATATGACTATCAAAAAATTTTTATCAAAAGAAATGCCTTCAGATTTTTCAAAAGTTTCCTATAGATCTATTCTACAGCAGGCTGGTATGGTGTTATATCAAAATTTGTCAAAATTCTTTCATTTTTACTACACTATTTTACTAGGCATCATTTTCCTATTTTACACAATGCCACTTGCTGTTTACTCCACATACATTATAGTATTTACATAATGACAAGTGACCAAGTCGTAAATATCAATCATTACCATTACAAAATCCTCCCCGTCTTCAAAAGTTTCGATCTCTTCTTCCTCGTCGATCATTGTATAAAAACATGTATAGTGGGTACGTCTATATATAACATGTATAGCTTTGACCTCAATAATTTCAGCATGTCTAGTGGTTCGGACAATTTCAGTCTCTCGCGGTGGCATCTATAGTATAAAATATAAAACGTGAACCATTAAGTTCAGTAAATACGATGATGCAAAGATGCATGTCAAACATACATGGGCCAAAATCCTTATTATAGTGTACCTTACGAGCTCAGAATAACATGGCCTTTTTTCCTGCGTGCAAACCAATATCAACGCATCCATCGTTGTCCATTGAGACTCAAGATGCATCATTATATCATACATACAGACTCAATGTCTGGCCTACATATATACAGCGCGCTCAAGGTGCCTATCCGCAGTCCCAAGGCCTCCAAGGGACCTCCTGACACTGCATATATACAAGTGTAAAACTCCCAATACCCTATCTTTGGCTACCCTTAATGACCGTCAAGAGCTTCAAAGCGGTACAGTTATTCGGACACAACAATGCGGTTCATCTATAATGGAATTCACATTCAAAATTTTTAACTGCAACACAAAGTACGTATGATCTTGAAAATGTAATTATCCCTACATTTTCCAAATAAACTCAATGCACATGTAACATCCTACCATGTCACATAACAAAAGAAACAACCACATATTAATGTATTTTGCACTGTAATTGAAAACACATCAATATTTACCTTTTTCGTTATTTCCTTGATCAATATCTGCATTAACACAATAATCTCTACATTAATCATATCTTATCTTATTATTTCCCGATTATCACATCTAGACTAAACTTATAAGATAATATATGTTATTTAATAGCATACCCCTAATCAAAATAATGATACTAGTTTATTGTCATCTAGTAGTAATAATAATAACGATAATAATCTAAATTAAATTCTCGTTATCGTCATTAACTAAATTTCATAAAATTATTACATATACAATTTAAGTTAGCCAATACACTACCATATTACTTTCCCATTTCATGCTTGATCCACTTTTCATTTCAATTAACACAAGTATATATATATACATCCATACCTATTAGAAATTTTTCTTATTCAATTCATATTCTTCTTTACCACATTTTCATCATATCTCACCATTGATGCTATGCATTATAACAATTTTTCTTCACATCTTATCACATAACTAAATCAAAGTAATTTAAATTTAAGCCTCAAGTGCTAATTGTTATCTTTCTTCCCATTTAAATTTACCACATATATAAATGTAGTAGTGGTCCAATTTCCATACCCATTATCATGATGATATTAACAATTGTTATACCAAGTTATTTTCTATCCCTACTCACTTCTTCCTTACTCACTATATTTTCCCCCAAAACTATTTTATACAATCCTTAATAATGTAAGCTAAGTAAACTAAGACTCAATATATCTTCAGCTAGTTTATAAGTTTTAAAATTTCCAAAGTTTAGATTTTGAAATGGAAAAATTATAGTTTATCTTCCTTGATTTTATTAATTAAACTTAAATATAATATTATCTTTTATCAAACCCTGAA